TTGTCCTTTTTCCCGTTATCCGGGGCGTCTCCTCACCGTCTGGTGCAGGTCGGGGATGCCGATGCGGAACACCATCATGCTGAACTGCGCCTCCTCGGGGGGCGGCCGGGGGGCGCGGCCGGGCCCGGGGGGTCCCTCGCGGGAGCTGCCGGAGTCGGAGTCGGGCTCGGGGTACTCGGAGCCGCGGCCGCCCTCCTCCTCCTCGCTGGAGGCCGGCGAGCGCGGCATGGCCTCAGCATGCCAGCCTGGGCAGGGAGACGGGGACACCCAGGTCGGGAAAAGGGACGGGGACGGGATCGGAACGCGAAAAACGGGATCGGGACCGCAGAAAACGGGATTGGAAACCCAAAAATCGGGATTGGAACCCCGAAAAACGGGATCGGAAACCCAAAAAACGGGATCGGGACCGCGGAAAACGGGATCGGAAACCCAAAAAACGGGATCGGGACCGCGGAAAACGGGATGGGAACGCGAAAAACGGGATCGGAAACCCAAAAATCGGGATTGGAACCCCGAAAAACGGGATTGGAACCCCAAAAAACGGGATTGGAACCCCGAAAAACGGCCAAAAGTGCCCAAAAATGGGATCGGAACCACAAAAAACGGGATTGGAACCCCGAAAAATGGGATTGGAACCGCGAAAAACGGCCAAAAGTGCCCAAAAACGGGATCGGGACCGCGGAAAACGGGATTGGGACCACAAAAAACGGGATCGGGACCGCGGAAAACGGGATCGGAACCGCGGAAAACGGGATTGGAAACCCAAAAAACGGGATTGGAACCACAAAAAACAGCCAAAAGTGCCCAAAAACGGGATCGGAACCGCGGAAAACAGGATCGGGAACGCGGAAAATGGGATTGGAACCCCAAAAAACGGGATCGGGACCGCGGAAAACGGGAACGGAACCGTGAAAAATGGGATCGGAAACCCAAAAAACAGGATCGGAACCCCGAAAAACGGCCAAAAGTGCCCAAAAACGGGATTGGGACCGCGGAAAACGGGATCGGGACCGCGGAAAACAGGATTGGAACCCCAAAAAACGGCCAAAAGTGCCCAAAAACGGGATCGGAACCACGAAAATCGGGATCGGAAACCCAAAAAACGGGATTGGAACCCCGAAAAACGGGATCGGGACCGCGGAAAACGGGATCAGAAACCCAAAAAACGGGATTGGAACCCCGAAAAACGGCCAAAAGTGCCCAAAAACGGGATCAGGACCGCAGAAAACAGGATCGGAACCGCGAAAAACGGGATTGGAAACCCAAAAAACGGGATCGGAACAGCAAAAATGGGATCGGAATCCCAAAAACGGGATTGGAACCCCGAAAAACAGGATTGGAACTCCAAAAAACGGCCAAAAGTGCCCAAAAGCGGGATCGGGACCGCGGAAAACGGGATTGGGACCGCGGAAAACAGGATCGGAACGCGAAAAACGGGATCGGAAACCCAAAAAACGGGATTGGAACCCCAAAAAACAGCCAAAAGTGCCCAAAAAACGGGATCGGGACCGCGGAAATCGGGATCGGGACCGCGGAAAACGGGATTGGAAACCCAAAAAACGGGATTGGAACTCCAAAAAACGGCCAAAAGTGCCCAAAAAACGGGATCGGGACCGCGGAAAACGGGATCGGGACCGCGGAAAACGGGATCGGGACCGCGGAAAATGGGATTGGAACCCCGAAAAACGGGATTGGAACCCCAAAAATCGGCCAAAAGTGCCCAAAAACGGGATCAGGACCGCGGAAAATGGGATCGGAAACCCAAAAAACAGGATCGGAACCCCGAAAAACGGGATCAGGACTGCGGAAAACAGGATTGGAAACCCTAAAAACGGGATTGGAACCACGAAAAACGCGATTGGAACCCCAAAAAACGGCCAAAAGTGCCCAAAAATGGGATCGGAACTGCGGAAAACGGGATCGGAACCCCGAAAAACAGGATTGGAAACCCAAAAAACGGGATTGGAACCCCGAAAAACGGGATCGGAAACCCAAAAAACGGGATCGGAACTGCGAAAAACGGCCAAAAGTGCCCAAAAATGGGATCGGAACCGCGGAAAACGGGATCGGGACCGCGGAAAACGGGATTGGAACCCCGAAAAACGGCCAAAAGTGCCCAAAAACGGGATCGGAACCACGAAAATCGGGATCGGAAACCCAAAAAACGGGATTGGAACCCCGAAAAACGGGATCGGGACCACGGAAAACGGCCAAAAGTGCCCAAAAATGGGATCGGGACCACGAAAAATGGGATCGGAAACCCAAAATCGGCCAAAAGTGCCCAAAAACGGGATTGGGACCGCGGAAAATGGCCAAAAATTTAAAAAAGCAGGATCAGAACCCCGAAAAACAGGATCGGGACCCCAGAGAATGGGAACGGGACCCCAAAAACGGGATTAGAACCCCAAAAAACTGGATTGGAACCCCAAAAACGGGATTGAAATCCCAAAAATGGGATCGGAACCCCAAAAAATGGGATCGGAACCCCAAAAAACGGGATCGAAATACCAAAAAATGGGATTGAAACCCCAAAAAACAGGATCAGAACCGCAGAAAACGGGATTGAAACCCCAAAAAACCGGATCGGAACCGCAAAAAACGGGATCGGAACCGCAAAAAACCGGCTCAAAATCGCAGCAAAATTCATCAGAATCACGCAAATATTGACAAAGCCAACCCAAAACTCATCAAAATCAACCCAAAACTCATCAGAGTCACCCGAAATTCCTTAAAAACGACCCAAAACTCATCAGAATCACCCAAATATTCACAAAATCAACCCAAAACTCATCAAAATCACCCAAAACTCATCAGAATCACCCAAATATTGATGAAACCAACCCAAAACTCATCAAAATCACCCAAAATTCATCCGAATCACCCAAATAGTCACGAAATCAACCCAAATCTCAGCAGAATCACCCAATCAATGAAAAGGGGCAGAAAATCCCAAAAAATGGTGAAAAATCCCAAAAAACGGGATTGAAACTGCAGCAAAACTCATCAGAATCACCCAAAATTCATCAAAATCCCCCAAAATTTCCTCAAAATGCCCCAAAATGCCCCGAAAATCTCCTCCGAATCCCCACAAACGTCCCTAAAACCGCGCAAAACGCCTCAAAACCACCCAAAAAAGTGTCCCAAAAGTGCCACCCAAAATTGTCACCCAAAAAAGTGTCACAACCCCAAAAACTGCCCCAAAACTGCCCCAAAACTGTCCCAAAACTGTCCCCAAACTCCCCAAAATGTCCCAAAATGTCCCAAATTGTCCCAAAATTGTCCCAAAACTGACACAAAATGTCCCAAAACTGATCCAAAATGTCCCAAAATTGTCCCCAAATTGTCCCAAAATTGTCCCAAATTTCCCCCAAATTGTCCCAAATTTCCCCCAAATTGTCCCAATTTGTCCCAAATTGTCCCAAAATTGTCCCAAATTTCCCCCAAATTGTCCCAAATTGTCCCAAAATGTCCCAAAATTGTCCCAAAACTGACCCAAAATGTCCCAAAATTGTCCCCAAATTGTCCTAAAATGTCCCAAAACTGACCCCAAATTGCCCCAAAAAGTCCCAAAATGTCCCAAAATTTCCCAAATTGTCCCCAAATTGTCCCAAATTGTCCCAATTTGTACCAATTTGTCCCAAATTGTCCCAAAATTGTCCCTAAAATGTCCCAGAAAGTCCCAAAATGTCCCAAAATTGTCCCCAAATTGTCCCAAAATGTCCCAAAATATCCCAAAACTGACCCAAAATTGTCCCAAAATGTCCCAAAATGTCCCAAAACTGACCCCAAATTGCCCCAAAAAGTCCCAAAATGTCCCAAAATTGTCCCAAAATGTCCCAAAATTGTCCCAAAATGTCCCAAAATTGTCCCCAAATTGTCCCAAAATTGTCCCAAAGTTCCCCCAAATTGTCCCAAATTGTCCCAAAATGTCCCAAAATTGTCCCAAATTTTCCCCAAATTGTCCCAAAATGTCCCAAATTGTCCCAATTTGTCCCAAATTTTCCCAAAATGTCCCAAATTGTCCCCAAATTGTTCCCGGCCGGGCGGGGGCGGGGCCGGGCCCAGAACGAGGCCGCGGCTCCCGCGGGGCTGCGGGGGGAGGGGCGCTAATTAGACAGGGCGCTAATTAGGGGGCACTAATTAGACAGGGGTCACTTACTGAGGGGTCGTTAATTGGGTGGGATCATTAATTGGGGGGTCATTAATTGGGGGCGTTAATTACAGAGAGGGCATTAATTGGGGGGTCATTAATTGAGGGGCGTTAATTACAGAGAGGGCATTAATTGGGGGGG